CTGCACGGTCGATCAGCCTACATCTCAACAAACATCTCCCCAGGCAAGCCAGTGTCGCCAGCCTGGCCCCACCTGGCTGCCACTTCCTGCAGAAAGACAGTGCGGTGGGCATGCGTGAATCTAAGAAGTGTGATTAGCAACCATCCCCGTCAGAGAATACAGTGCAGGCCACCTTCGCGCGCCCTCGCGCGCGCATATCAAAGCCATTCAATAACGCTTCGATTCCTAACACGTTCCAGCCACAGCCCGTCAACACTATCACAAGCAGGGCTCGTCCAACAACAATGGTTCAAGGCTTTTGCGTGCGCAATCGTTGAAATCATGTGAGAACCATCGTAAGTGTGCCATCCTGTCAAGCGAGACCATGACTAGGGGAACGAACAATGGCATAACATGACTAGCCTGGCGAAAGACCGAACCATATGCAATTGTGCCGCTTTCGCTGGAGCTCCATATGGAGCCACAAAACGTATGAGAAGTGTGCCAAAATGGATGCCGTGGGCGCATGCGGGTGCTGGCATCTGGGCCTTCGGCGGGGCTCCCTATGGGGCCAAGAAGCGATTAAGGAGTGTCCCAAAATGGGCGCAGTGGGCGCATGCAAGTGCTGGCATGTGGGCCTTCGGTGGAGCTCCCTGTGGGCCCACAAAGCGTGCGAAGGATGTGCCAAAATGGGTGCGGTGGGCGCATGCGAGCGCGGGCATCTGGGCCTGTGGTGGAGCTCCCTATGAGGCCACAAAACGTGTGAGAGGTGTGCAAACTAAAGGGTGCGGTGGGGGCATGCGAGCGCTGGCATCTGTGGGCCTTTGGTGGGGCTCCCTATGGGGCCACAAATCGTGTGAGACGTGTGCCAAAATGGGTGCGGTGGGCGCACGCGAGCGCTGGCATGTGGCCTTCGGTGGGGCTCCCTATGGAGCCACAACACGTGTGAGGGGGGTGCCAAAAAAGGATGCGGTGGGCGCACGCGAGCGCTGGCACCTGGCCTGAGGTGAGGTTCCCTATGGAGCCACAAACCGTGTGAGGGGTGTGCCAAAATGGATGCGGTGGGCGCATGCGAGCGCTGGCATCTGTGGGCCTTCGGTGGGGCTCCCTATGGGGCCACAATGAGGGAGGAGAGGAGGAGGGGGAGGAGGGGGCAACGGGAGGAAGGAGTGAGACGCGGGGCGCTGTCTCTTCAAAACGAGGACCCACTACCACAGGATGGCTGGGAAAAACTCGGAGGTCCGCGCGGATTTCTCGAATCCGCGCTAGACCCCCCTAGCGCCGCCTCCGGCGCCGCCTCCAGCACCGTCCGTGGCGCGCTCCGCGCGCCAGGGAGGGGGGTCCAGCGCCGATCCGAGAAATCCGCGCGGACCCTCAGGTTTGTATTCTTATGTCATCCTTCGTTCCCCCAGTCATGGTCTCGCTTGACAGGATGACGCAAGTTCGATGGTTCTGACATGATTTCAGCGATTGCGTGCGGAAGAGCCTCGCACGCTTGTTGTTGGAAGAGCCACTGGCTTTTGATAGGGTTGAAGGGCTATGGTTGGAACTGATTGAGAATCGAATGACGGCCGCTTGCGCGCGCATGCATGCATCATGACATTCGCCAACCATCGCGCACCCGCCAAAATCTGTCCAAACGAGATCATGCGGGCAACGCACGCGCCTCCGGGCGCGCGGGTCGAAAGACCTGCAGAATCACGAGAATTAGAGGGATTCAACACCGATGGTTTCAAACACATGGGAAAACCCAGCGGTTGACCAATCAGGAATACAACTTATGTTGCGAAGGTCTGCGCGAGAGCCCTTCAATGTCCCCCACGATCCTCATCACCAATATTGGTATCACCGCCAGCGTTATCATTGCCATCATCCTCATCATGACCATCATGGTCACCGCAATTGCCGTCATCATCAACACCGCCATCACCGTCACCGTTGGTAACGTCACCCTCCTCATCATCGCATCCGCCATCATCATCATCAGCAGCAGCATCATCATCAACATCATCATCCTCATCATCATCGGCATCATCATCATCATCATCATCATCATCATCATCATCAGCATCATCATCATCATCATCATCATCATCAACAACGTCATCATTATCATCATCAGCATCATCATCATCCTCGCCATCATCATCATCAGCATCATCATCCTCGTCATCATCGTCATCACCCGTCGGCGTCGCCGATGCCGTCGTCGCCATCACCACTCGCCCGCCCGAGGCATTGACCTGCATGAACCTGGTTAGCGTGCCACCGCGCCACAGCAGACTCGCAAGCCAATCCCGATGGGCAAACACACCCACTGCCTTCATGAGTATTGCCAGCAAATTGCGGGTGGATGGGTCGGACGGTTGCTCGAGCACGTGTGGAGGTCACGCGCGCACGCTATCGGTTAGTATCGATTCCGCAACATGCGTTACAACACGTTACTTGCACCCGACATCCTGCACAACGTAGGTTGAACCACATAGAGTGCATCCCGAATATTGCGCCCCATAGGTTGCGCCTAATACCTTGCACGAAGTACGCAGCTTGCACCGCATATCGCACACCAAACCTACAAAAACCTAAGGTTTCGCAACACGGATTTTCAAAAAAAGCGTGCGCGCGCGCTCTTGCGTCGTCGTCGTCGTCGTCGTCGTCGTCGTCGTCGTCGTCGCCGTCCTCCCTCCTCCCGCGTCGTCGTCGTCGTCGCCTACGTCGTCATCTATCTTTTCTCGTGTTCGTCGTCGTCGTCCTCTTTGGCGTCGTGGTCGTTTCCGTCGTCGTTGTCGCCGTGGTCGTCCGTCCTCCTCCTCCCACGTCGTCGTCGTCGTCGTCCGTCGTCGGCGTCTCGTCGTCGGTTCTATTTCGTCACCGTCGTCGTCGTCGTCGTTGTCGTCGTCTCTCCTCCCTCGTCGTTGTCGTCGTCGGCGTCGCCGTCCTTCCTCCTTCGTCGTCGCTCGCGTTGTCGCCGTCCTCCCTCCTCCCTCGTCGTTATCGTCGTTGTCGTCGTTGTCGCCGTCGTCGTGATTCCTCCTCCCTCGTCGTCGCCTTCGTTGGCGTCGTCGTCGTCGTCTTCGTCGTCGTCGGCGTCGGCGTCGTCGTCGTCGTCGAAGTTGTCGGAGACGTCGTCGGTGTCGTCGTCGTCGTTGTCGTCGGTGTCGTCGTAGTCGGTCTTAAGAGGTTTTGCAAACCAAGTTGCGGGTGGGAGGGTGGGATGTTTGCGCGAGCAGTGAAGAGGACAGCTTCAAGTTGAGTAAGTGATTGACTACACCAAATAGATTGCACCTCACAGATTGCGCCTCACTGATTGCACTCCTCGAGTACAAATCGAGAGTGTAAGGAACTATTTGGAACCCTCTCTAGTCAAAATACTGTCGGGCGGAAACGCATGAGAACCGCAAAGACACTGGTATTGAGAACACGCCAACGCCCAATGTGTATAAATATATATATATATGTATATACATATACATACATGCAAGACTGCAGTGGCGCTTCGCGCCATGCACCTTGGTCCTTGAAGTGTTGCACGCAGGCGGAATAGCAGCAAGGCCAAGCAGGCAATTTAGCGGTAACTCATTGTTGCCTTTTCTGGCATCGTCGCTATAGTGACGTGATTCATTATCTTTCCTCAGTGCTTATGTTTCCTCATGTTCGTCATACCCTGCGCATTCTCCACATCCTCCTCAGCTCTTTCTTACGGAGACTCCTCCTTGGAGAGCCTCTGCGGGCCTCACAAAAGTTGTTTCAGGCTTTCTTAAGGCCTTCTGGAGGCCTCCTGGGCGTATTCTGGGGGCCTCTGGGGGCTTCCTCGGGCCACCCTGCCTCCAACCGCGGTCTCCCTGAACGACCAGGTCACGATTTGAAATGCTTCGGAGGATGTCTTGGGGCCATCTTGGGCCGCCATGGGGCTCTCTGAATGCCATCTTGGACTCGTGTTGTGCCGTTTTGGGGCTCTCTTGAACTGCCTGGAAGCCCTTTTGAATGGTTGTGGGGCGATTTTGGAGCCTCCCAAGCAAATTCGGACGCCCAGAAGACCGCCGTCTTGGAGCGTCGGGAAGCCGAAAAAAGGAGAACCCAAAAATTCACCAACAACCACCAGAAAATCAATGATGTGTGCCTCTTGGGGCCTTCTTGGGAACGCTCTTGGAGGCCTCTTTGGGGCCGTCCTGGAGGCCTCTTGGGCCATCTTGAGGTCACGTCGGTCACTCTTGGAGCGCTCTTGTGCTGTCTTGGGGGTCTCTGGGACGTCTCCGATGACCTCCCTGATCGCCCTAGGTGTGCTGGGGAGGCTTAGCAAAACGCCCTGCGAGGCACGTGGGGACGCTTCGAGGCCCGTCCGGAGGGTCCCAAAGCCCAAGATCCCCGGAACCTGGTTTGGGGGGGGGTCCCCCCGCCCGGGCTTGTGAAAATATAGAAAGAGAAACACACACATATATATATATATATATACATATATATATATAGCATACTGTTGTGACCGAGCTCGTTTATATGAGTGGACATTTACGTGCGTGCGCATGCCGCATCGGTAACTTCATGCTTACGCACATGAAAGAGAAAGAGTGAAAGGGAGAGAGAGAGAGAGAGTGCGAAAATGCAGCTACGACGCGAAACATTGATTATGTGAGATGCGCGAGTGGCAACCTGCACCAATTCGCGTGTATGGTCCGTGACACCCATGCATACAACACGACGTGAATTGCCGCCTACAACATGCTGGAAGTACATATCGAAGCCTACGCCAGACCTTACGCCAGACATGAATGTCTCCGAAATGGCGTCAGAGTAAATGGGGTCGGATGGCCGCGCCGCATCGTCGATGCATCGTCGATGCATCGGCGACGTCGGCGATGCGTCGGCAACGTCGACGTGGAGAAGATCCGCATCTAGGATGCATCGGCGATGCTGCGCGATCCTCCGAACCCATCTACTTGGACCGACCCCATTTGCCAATTTGGGAGGCGTGGAAATACATGTCGAAAAATACGCTTTACAGAAGCATTATTTCACGTGCGGTCCTCCGAGAGGCTGCACGACAGGGCGGCGACTTCCGCGATCAGCAGCGCCGTGGGCTGGCTCGGGGGGCCTGCGCGCACGTCCTCCGCACACATCCTGCTGGGAGTCCGACAGGGAAGGGCAGATCCACCACCGTGCTTCTGGCACGAAGTGGAGTGCCCCAAGGCTGATGCAGCACTGAGAGGCCGACGCCGTGCTGATCCTGCGGAAGCGGCAATTCTCAGTCTTCAGCGTCCCGGACCAATCGTGTCCCAAGCCTTTCTGCCGTTTTCTGGGCTGGCTCCCGTGAGTTCTGAGATGGTTTCTACGCCTCCTGTGGACGCTGTGCCCCCCCCCCCCCACACACAGCGACCTCCCGAACCCTCCCATGAGTCCAAAGGGTGTTGAGTCGCCGAACGATCGCTCCAGGACGCCCGAGATGGCCTCAAGATGGCCCAAGAGGCCTCAAAGACGCCACAAGAGGCCTCCAAGAGACCTCCCAAGAGGGCCCCCACGGGCGAAAATCCGCCGACCCTGTCGGCGTGTGGAATGCGTTGTTCGTTGTGATTGCTGTCCTCGCACGTACTCGTCGTCTTCTCGTCTGGCTCCGTCGCCGCTCCCCCCTCTTTCCTTGGGCCCTCGTCCTCAAGCGCGCCAGCCAAAGCGAAATGAAGCAACCCAGCCAAAGGGAAATGAACAACGTTGTCGTGGAGGCGAAGGGAATCCCCTTCCCTTTGATCCCATCCCCGCCAGGGGGGGTCCCGGGGGGGGGGGGGTCCTGGGTCACAATACCATCCCCCGTCTGCGGCTTTTACAGAGGGGCCCTCTGTAGATGCACTGGAGGAGGGGGGGGTCGCCAAGACGGATCTGCAAGAGCGCTCCTAGACGGCCCAAGCCCCACAAGACAGCCCAAGAACGCCTAAGGACGGCCAAAGGGGGCCCTCAGACGGGTGAAAAGGGCCACACAAGGACTCTCAAGAAGGCCCGGAGAGGCCATATTCATTGATTTTCGGAAAGGTTGTGCCCCCGTCCTCTCCCTCCAGTTTCCGTCGAGAGCCGAGGCCTCCAGAATTGGTTACTCCTACTCGCTTCCTCTCGCTGCTGCCCCACTCCTCCTCCTCCTCCTCCTCCTCCTCCT